CCGGGCACAGCAGCCGGGAGCTTTAAGGCCTGGGCAGTCCCGCAGGTACCCGGGCACCCTCCCAGGAGGAGACGCCCGGAGCCCGGTCCAGCCCGGCCGCTGTTGGCCACGGTTCTCGGGGCTCTGCAGCGCAGGGGTGTCCCAGCCCAGCCTAGGCGAGGTGTCCTCACCTGGCTATGTCAGCGTAGCCATCGCTGCAGGCCATGTGCAGGGGCGTCCACCCGTTCTCATCTTTCTGGTGGATGTCAGCACCATATTTAACCAGGAGCTTGACACAGTCCAGGTTTCCAGTAAGCACAGCTTCGTGGAGGGCTGCCATGCCTAGAAGGAAAGGATTTGTTAGCCCTGGACTGGGGGAGGAGTGTCTAAATGCTGAGCTTACAAGCGCGAGTTGTCCACAGCCCAGGAGAGAGGGGTGCCAGCAAACGCTCATTATCAGGGAGATGATTTTGGGGAAAGAAATAAAGAGTGAGGAAGCAAGAGGAGCTGCCACAGGTTTCTGTTCCCCTTTACGGCATAAATGCCCTGTCTAAGATGGCGTAGCACCCACCTCCCCACTGGCCCAGGCAGGGCAGATGGAGGGAGGAGGAGCTGCCCCCTCCTGCAGAGCTCCCGGCCAGTGACCTGGCCCAAGTCCCAGCCAGGACTCACATGGGGACACGAGGAGAGTGTCTCCGGGGTCCTGCTCTGCCCAAGTTTCAGAAGCTCCTTACGGAGCAAGTAGTGAAGCAATCAGTATAGACAGGAGGAAGCCCAGGGTCATTTGAGACCCTGTCTCTGTGGCCATGTGACAGCAGAAGCTGAAGCCAAGCACAAGAAAGGGACAAATCTGGGCTCTGCACCAGCCAGTACAGATCAAGGCATTCCATAAACAGTTGCTAGTGAGGTTGGGTGCAAACATAACACAATGCCTTCCCCACAAACATAAATGCTGCGAGATCGGCATGCGCGCAAAAGAACAGCGTTTGTGAGAAACGGACAGAGTCAGGAACTAAACGTGGAGCCTTGCTTCTCACCGCTCTTACCCCAAGCTGGGGTGGATGGCAGGCGCCGCACTGTCCCATCCAGAGCTCCACAGACCAGCCTGTGCTCATGGCTCCTTTTCTAGGTCCCACCACCCTGCAGGTGCACCGTCGTGCCTTGAAGGGACCCAGGGGGTAAGCCTCCCCTTCCCGCAGCATGCGCTGCCCACGCTGTTGAAGGAAGGTGTTGGGGCACTGGCACGGGGCTCTCTTGGGCCCTGCTTGGCGATGTTAGGGGTGGTACTCCTCACTGGGGAGGAAAACGACTCGATTCCAACCTGTCACCCTGCCAAAGGCGGCCTGCGCCCTGGCTTTGGCCGCACGGCTCGCTCTCATTTCCCTCGCAGCCCAGCTGAGCCGTGCCGCTGCGCAGGTTCCAGCTCTGCCAACCCCAGCAGCACTCACCAGAAGGGTAGATGGTGTCCAGCGTCACCTTCCTGGCACGTATGAATCTGCCCACCTGCTCCAGGTCCCCCTGCCTGATGTGGTCCTGAAAGACGACGTCATTGGGGAAGTGCACAGTGCGTGAGGCTCTCAATCTCCGGGCGTACCGACTGTACCGGGGCATTGAGACTGGGTAATAGTCCTTCATGCTGACCACAGCCTTCAGACTGCAGAGGAAGAGGAGGAGCAGCGGCACGGGGGGGCTGTAGGAGCAGCCGGAGTTGCTTAGTGCTTGGCCCTACCGCTCGCTGGCCTCAAAGCACCGCGTTCTCCTCTTCTGCCTGCCACGTCCCTCCTCACGACGGAGGTGCGATGGCCCCCGCGCTGCTGCGCTCCCTCCGTGCCCGTGTCCCCAGGTCTCCCGAGCCGGCAGGGAAGCGGTGGCCGCCGGGCTGTCCCTACGCTCCCATGCCGCGTGCAGGAGATGGCGCTGGGCACACACAGTTCGCCCTCAGGCCCTTGGCCCAGGACTGATGGTTCTCCAGGGGCATCGCTTTATATAGGCTCCCATGGGCTATTTTGAGGACATGCAGCTCATGCTATTTGCCCTGATACTTTGTAATCGAGCCGCCCAGGCCCGCAGCCTCCCACTTTTGGGCAGAAGTTGGTGTCTCATCTTACCACCCACCTGTTGATGTGCCCATCCAAGGGGTCAAATCTACTGTTGCTTTTGCATGGATAGCCCTTCAGAGGAACCCAATGGCCTGAAAACAGAACTTCCCAGCAGCAAGCCCTCATACGCGCGCACACACGCGCGTGTGCCGGGGAAAAGACATGAGCATGGTCACCAAGCGAGGGGAACCGGCCACTCATGTACTGACCAGCCAGCACAATGCAGACATGTCAGAGCTATGGTGCCAAATACATTCAGAGCTAAGTCACCCTCCTGTAGTTGCATCAGACAACTTGAAAAGAGCAGAATGAGCTGTCCTGCCCAGCACGACTGCGAGACAGCGTACAGCTAAGCATGGAGAACACCACCAGCGTGCTGCATATTATCAGTGCCCCTGCAAGGACAGAGGTGCTGCTGGTGCTCCTGATGCAGGTGCAGAAGCAGAAGCCTGCAATGCCAGTCCATGGTGTTCAAAGTCCTACTTCAAACTCAGAACCATCTGCTACGTGAGGGCAGGCTTCTACAAAACAGCTTCAGAAGAATAGCTGAAGAATAGCACCACCACCAGACAATTCCTGCATTCGTTGCTCTCCAGCTGCAGCTGTCGAAGACCCAGAATGGGCCATTTACCACAGAGGAATCTTTCAGATCCACCAAGGGTTCACGCAACAACTGCTCCTCCATCCTTCTTCCCACCAGTTTGGTCATTTCAGATACATGAGTGTATTGCGCTGTTTCACACCACTGGGGATTGTCCAGGCAGGACAATGAACTCCCCTGTGGTGCATCAGGAAAAATCCCCGTCGTGTGTTAGGAGTCACAGATTGCATTCTGCCCTTTACGCAGCAGACCCTCGTCCTGAACCCCTGCCAGCACTGAGGCTGACAGCTCGGTCAGCCGTGCACCTGAGAGCCGCCTGCTGCGCTTGGTCATCTTCTGGCAAACACATTGATCTTTTTGCTGACCATCTCTGCGCAGCGGTACATCAGACAGAACACCGTGCAACAGGAGGCTGAGCTATCTGCTGTGGAGACGGAACGCTTTTAGCCCGCTTTCTTGGAACAGCAATTAGCTGTGTACACAAGATGACCCTGATGGAGTCCTGCTCTGCCAAGAGCAGCCTCGGTGTACGGGAAAAGCCCCCTCCTCTGAGCTGAGCAAGGCAGGTCTCAGACCATGAACAGAGGAGAACCACGGCAGAGCTCAGCCTTGTTTACGCTTTAACCAGCTCCACAAAAGGACCTTTTTGAGCCAAAATAACCAGCACCTTCCAGTGGAACTTCTTACTAGCAGTGCTCTCTTCCTCCCCACCCCAAAACACAAGGCAGCTTTCTTGCTCAGAAGCAGCTGCCACTAACCAGCCCTGACACCAGCCACTGGCACCGCCTGCTCTCTTGGGCTACAACAGCAGCAGCCAGGCTACACTAAGAACAAGCCCCCTGCCTGCCTCCAGACATGCGAGGTCACAGCCCTGGAGAGAGGCACCTTCAGAGATCCTTCTCCACATAACCGCAGGTAACAAACACAGCTGATTACCAACAGAACAGGAAGCAGCAGATGCTGTTTTCTGATCCCAGAGTCAGCCATCGCCTGCTCAGCCCCAGCCCTGGTGCTGCTGCCCCGAAGGTTTGTGTGCACCAGGCCAGGACATGGCAGGGGCTCTGTTCCCAGGGGAACCATGGGAGGAGGCTGGAGCTGCAGGCAAGCGTTGTACAACGCTTCTGTCCTACCACCCCAGGGCACCCACATTCAATGACAGACACCAGTAGCCTGCCAAGTTGCCCTCTAGCTTCACCATGCCCTCGCATGTGACATTTATAGCATATTTTCTTACAAAAATATTTTCAGCAGTAAGTGACCAGTTTGGAAATAGCAATGTAGCTCACTGGATCATGTGAGCCTGACTAGCAGAGCTACAGGCAGCCCCAGGTTTCCTTGTAGGCAAATTCCTCGGTTAACTGCTCAAGAGCAATGAGGTCCTCTCACCTCAGGCCAGCTGGCAAGCAGAGCTGCTTATTCTCAGAGCCCAAGCCAATGTCTGCTCACTGCTAATAGAGCTGTTAGTTGTCTGCCTGCACAAACTGATTTAATCTGGACACAACATGGTCATCTTGAAGTTCTTTTCCTTTATAGATTACGCAATACAAATTTCTTCAGGTTAAGGTACCAGAAGCCACCTGCAAAACTGGAAGTGTTCAGAAAGTGGTTTTTCCTCAAGAAATGTGGTATCCAGTGAAAGTTTGAGAGAGCTGACAAGCACATACCATTTTGGCAGAGTCTCTTGAGAACCACCCTAGAACTCTGATCCTCTTTCAGGTCAGATTCAAATACACCCATTTGATATTCCGATAAAGACAGAGAGACATAATAGTATTAAAATCTCAACTTTATTTGGCCAACAAATTCAGTCCCAATGTTATTGTAGCGGAATGCTAAGAACCAGCCTGATGCAGCTCAGGCCTTTGAGGCACTCCCCTGTTCAAGTTCCTCCCCCAAACCCAGTAATTGCAAATGTCCTGTTTTGATCTATTTTATCAGGCCCTCCCACACCACCCACCTGCCTGGTCAACCCACTCAAAATAATGCATGGAAAGTGATTGCAAAACAGTCTTGCATTTGATCGAAAGGATGGCAGCTTAGGTCTCATCTAAGCTGGTGAGCCAGCGACCACCTCCACCCTCGGAGCCTGCCACAGCCAGTGCACACAGTATTCCACCCTTCCAGGTGTTTGGAAGTCATCTCCAAGTGTCTTAAAGCAGAGGGGAAAGGAAACATCTGGCCAGCATGAAGAGAAGCACCTTCATATACACCTTTCACACCAGGATGATGCCACCAGCCTACTGCCTCTTCCCCTACATATACTGAAAGCCAATTCCAGGGAAGAACAGCTGAGACCATTAAGGACCCTGCCAGGTACAGAAATCAACTATCAACTATGGGCTTTAGTTTTAAAAGAAAAAGGGAAAGA